AGTTACCAAAGACTCAATATTAGAGACCGATACTTTTAAAAAGAACGAGAGGGGAGTCAGGAGTCAGCAGGTGACAAGATGGTTAAGTCACTGGACTCCCACATGGCTGACTATGGTTTGAGTCCCGAACCTGGTGGCTTGCTTTTTCACTTCCTCTCTCTCTCTCTTTCATCTCTCTTTGATGAGCACATGTGCCCTACAGCAAAATAAATAATGGTAATAATAATTAATAATATTAAATAAATCATTTTAATTTAAATAAATAAATAAAAAGAATGAAAGGAATGGCTCGACTAGGCAGCCTTGGTTCTTTGATTTAGGACTCGCTGTTGTCATTGTGTTTTCATTGGAAGAAAACCTCTATTTCAGCCTGAAGCTAGTATCATGAATCATCCAAAGGTGTGGTGTGATTTTGACTAGAAGCTGGACCAGAGGCCCTGCACAGGTTTGGAAGCAGTTACCCTCTTGTGGTTTGACTAACCTTTTTTATGAGTGTGTTACTAAAGAAACGTGAGCTGTTGGCTTTTCAATTAAAGAAGCCTGCCCCTTCTGAGTTTCATACACGTTGAGTCATCGTGTCTACAGGTGACTGATAATCATCTGCACTGTTCAAGTTACCGTAACTTGTAGATGAGGGGATCTGATGATTGCAAGTTGCGTGCACGTGAAGATCTGAGGCTCTCCCATCTTCTTAACAATGAACGATGGTCTGTGTAACCACAGAACTCAGTCACATCTTTCCACCCATCCCGGGGCTTATTTTCCTCTTAATGTTTTGCCTCTTACAACTTGAGCATTGATCTGCTTTCTGACATATACTGCAGGTGGTATAGATTGTGAAATTATAGGCCGGGTTAAAAAAAGCAAACTCTTGGGAGAAAGGCTAAAAGCAGAGTTTGTGATATGCCTACCTCACCCGAAACCTTCTGTAGTTTCTCTGTTTTGTAAAAGATAAAAATATTCTCAAGGACCCCTGGTATTTAGGGAGTAGAACTAGCCACAAATCAACAACCTTGAAAAGGCCAAGAAACCAAAGTTGATCATTTCTGTGTCACTTTCAGAAGAATGAATGTTTGTGACCTTAGCTGGCTTTTATGCTGTCTGTCATTTTTCCAGATGGCTTTGACTAAAGATACATCCAATCTCGAAGATGAAAATAAAAACCATTGATTACCTTGGCAAAGGTCTACCTTTCCATGACTTCTTATCGAGTTGCCAGGATAGGGTGTTTTCTTTTGACTACTTTTCTTCCCTATTTATCTAGAGACAATCAGATTGACATTAAGGTATTGGAGATACAAGATAAATATGATTAGATTACATCTTTTAGCTGGTGTTTCTGGCTTCAATTTCTTGTAGTCCATTTTACACATTGCTGTTACAGACTTTCTCAGAGGCGTGTTGCCATTTGCTCTTGATTCAAATCCAGACCCTATGATTGGTCTCTCAGAATCCCCATCATTAGGTCTCACTGAATGTTGGCGTTCATCGATGTTTCTCAAAATGTGGGAAACAAACCACCAGGAGACACACGGGGTACTTAAAAACTTTGATCCAGGGGCCAGCAGTTGAGGTGGTGGCTAAGGCACTGAACTCCCACATGATTGACTGTGATTTGAGTCCCAGACCTGGTGACTTGCTTTCTCCTTTTTTCTCTCTTTCTCTGTCCCTCTCTCTGGTGAGCACATGTGCCCTATAGAATTTTTAAATGATAATAATATAATAAATAAAATTAAATAAGTAATACTTTAAAAAAAAACACACACACAACTTCATTAGGGGCCAGTGGGTAACAACAGAGTAAGGGCGCTGGACTCCCATGTGGCTGACTATGGTTCCAGTCCCGGGCCTGGCAGCTGGCTTTCTCACTCTCTCACTCTCACTCTGTCCTCTCTGGTCAAATTCTAAATGAAAAATAAGTAGATACATAAAGTTAAATAAAAATTGGAAAAAAATCTGATTAATGTGGCAAGAAAATAATTTTCTTTTCAGTTCTCTTTCTGTTTCCCTGATTATAGTAAGGAGAAAGATTTAGACTTAATTTGATGCTAGTTATCTTTTTTTAAAAAAATTTATTCATTCATTTATTTTAATTTGACCAGAGAGAGACAGAGAAAGAGAGTGAGAAAGCAAGCTGCCAGGTCTAGGACTCAAACCATGGTTGACCATGTGGGAGTGTCCAGCACCTTAACCACCATGCCACCTGCTGGTCCTGGTGCTAGTTACCTTAAAACTAGTCTAATACTTGGTGTTTTCTCTGTTTTTAGCAGAGAGAAGATCTTAGTCTCCAAGTACTTGTATTAGTAGCTGATCAAAAATTAATAAATTCTTCTGTTTCATTGTCTTCATTTTTCATAGTTACCTCCAATTTGTGGCAGATGATTCAGGTTGTTGGTTATTAGTGATACAAAATTTACTTTTAGAAAGTTAGGAAAAAAAAAAGAAAGAAAAGAAAATGTCATCTGATTCAAAGAAAGAAAGAAAAAACCTCTAGCATTTACCAGTGTGCTCTATGTGCCAAGCACTGTTCTAAGCACTTTCCAGTGACTCCACAAAGTAGATATGATTATTATCTCCATTGTACATGAGAACACAGAACATAAGTAGGTTAAGTAACACAGCCAAGGTCACGCAATTAGTAACCAATGGAGCAGGCATCAAACCCAGTCCATCTGATTCTAGAGCTGTCAACCACCACACTACCCTGGTGTGCGGATATTGTGATAGATGAAGGAAGTTTGAGAATGACTATTTCATGCTTAACAGCTTTAGCCAGATTCTCTTCCTCTTCCCGTGCGTGTCCTGCATAGTCCCCCTTCTCTGTCTTCATTCAGGCTCCCTCTTCCAATAGGATGTCCTCTCCCCCTCACTGAAAATCTAGTCTACCTCAAGACCCTTCTTAAAATTTAGATTTTCCAGGAATGCTTTCCCTTCCTCAAGTATTTCTGAAGTTTTTGCATTCCCTGAACACTTAAAGCTACAATTTATACCTGCCTTGCCTTTGTCTATATGATGCCTTATCATTCTTTTTACATGCGGCTTGTTACTCACCTGTTTAAATGGCTCAAATGTGGCATTGAGGAGGAAATCAAGGGCCTCCATAGAGCAAAGCAGCCCTTTCCTAATTTGTAACCTATGGTTTTCCTCCAATCCCATCTTATTGAAGGTGTATTTCTTGCCCACTAGACTAGAAACTCTTCAAAAACAGGAACTAGTTCTTTCCATCCATTTTATTTTCTTCTTTGATTCTTTTTTTGTTACTGAACCCATTTCTACATGACAGTGACAAATTGGGAACCACAGCATGCCCTGGAAATGTTACAGAAGAGAGGGATATGGCCCTGCAAGTCTCTCTGGAATCCAAGATCATCAGCATGAAAAAGTATCAGTAATGACCTTAGCTGAAGGTTACCCTCCAGCTTTCTGTTCCCTTCCCGGCCACTCACCACTGAGCACACCTGCCATCGCTGCAGCCCCCGTTCCTGCCTTCCCTGTGGCCAGAGAGCCTCTGTATTCTAACACACAACACCCACACGCCTGAAGGTGGCTAAACTCTGTTTTCAAAATTTCTCAGCAGTTTGACATGCGAGGAGAGGGTGACCACAAATAAATGTTTCGGTTAAGTGTGAGTAGGTCCTAATGATGGCATGCATATCAGTGAGACACTTTTCAAGTGAAAAGTAGCAAAGTAGGAAAGGAATAAAGATCATGACCTCTCTTTAAGAAAGCTTTTCCTCACACTTTCTGCATTTGAAGCTCTTTTTCTTAAATCTTGGTCAGGTGACTGGTAAGTTTGGGGAGTAACAAGTTGGAGTTTGGGGGACTATTTTCTCTACCTCTGTAGCTATTTACAAAGCTGCCAAGACCAGTCGTACAATGTCTCCACTCTTTGCAGCACTTCCGTCCCTCTGGCTACCCGATATATCAAGCAGAAAATAACAGACAAAATAAGAGTTTGCCAATTGACTGTGTCTTAAGTTCACAAACAGTGGAAGTGCAGAGGCCCCACACTCCTGACAGTGGTAGCTTCCTAATGCCTCTAGACCCCATCTAATTTGGCTTTTTAAAAAAAGATAATTATTTTATTGGGGACCAGCAGATGGCATGGTGGTTAAGGCGCTGAACTCTTCCACATGGTCAACCATGGTTTGAGTCCCAGGCCTGGTAGCTTGTTTTCTCACTCCCCACCCCCCTCTCTCTCCCTCTGTGTCTCTCTTTGGTCAAATTAAAATAGATGAATGAATAAATGAATAGAATTAAATAAATAATTCTTTTTTACAAAGAATTATTTTATTTTATTCATTGTCATTATTTTTATTTATTTTTTTGAAGTTGACCAGAGAGAGAGAGAAGGAAAGTGAGAAAGCAAGCTGCCAGGTCCGGAACTTGAACTGCAGTCAGCTATGTGGGAGTCCAGCTGCCTTAACCACCAATTCACCTGCAGACCCAGCTTCTTTTTTTAAGTTTATTTGCTTTATTCATGATAGCACAGGCATGTCCCCAAGAGAGAAAGTACCCTCAATGGGGGTCTCGTCTCACCATAATTCCTTATCAGGTCTTGGCCATGCCCCCACATACCCTGGGTGTTTTCAAGTGCAACTGGAGATCCAAACCTGCGGTCAGCCAGGTGGCTTCCAGCAGTGTGGTCCAATCTACTGCCCATTACACCACCAAGCTGGACTGCCTTTCTCCTCCTTTCCCTTGAGTTCCCCTTTGATGAGAGCATAGGCATTCTTCATGATGTGGCCTCAACCTAATGACATCTTCTCCCCTCCCTTTTGCCTGCCGGCTTTATTCTGACCCTCCACATGTGTTACCCTGGCCCAGCAGCTCTGGAGACTTCAGTGCTGTTTGAGCTATTGTCCTCGTTGGGTGTTCTTGGGCAGCAGATAGCTTATCCTTCTTTGCCTTCTTGAAGATTGAAGACTCTGGAAAATCATTTGACAAACTTTCTGCCTTTATGCCATTCCCTTTGTAATCCTTTGTGTGACTTGTTCCAGGTGAAAAGCGCCACTGCTTCGACGTCAACTATAATTCTAGCTATATGTATGAGAAAGAGAACGAGATCATGCAGACCCGAATGATGGACCAAGCCATCAACAACGCCATCAGCTATCTTGGTGCCGAGGCCCTGCGCCCCTTAGTCCAGACACCGCCTGCTCCCACCTCCGAGATGGTTCCTGTTATCAGCAGCATGTACCCCATAGCCCTCACCCGGGCTGAGATGCCAAATGGTGCCCCCCAGGAGCTGGAAAAGAAGAGCATCCACCTTCCAGAGAAGAGCCTGTCTTCTGAAAGGGTTCACTCCCCCAACAATAGCGGCCATGACTCCACAGACACCGACAGCAACCACGAAGAACGCCAGAATCACCTCTACCAACAAAATCATCTGGGCCTCCCTCGGGCCCGCAATGGGATGCCACTTCTGAAGGAGGTCCCTCGACCTTATGAACTCCTCAAGCCCCCACCCATCTGCCCGAGAGACTCCATCCGAGTGGTCAACAAAGAAGGGGAGGTGATGGATGTGTATCGGTGTGACCACTGTCGCGTCCTCTTCCTGGATTATGTGATGTTCACTATTCACATGGGGTGCCATGGCTTCCGTGACCCTTTCGAGTGTAATATGTGTGGCTACCGAAGCCATGATCGGTACGAGTTCTCATCTCACATAGCCAGAGGAGAACACAGGGCCATGCTGAAGTGATCATCTGATCTCAGAATTAGGAGCATAGGAAGTCAACATTGTTTCTAAAAACTAATTACCATGCGTAACAGACCACTCCCAAAACACCCTCGTCGTTTTCATACCATTTGTCGTATGTAACGTGCCATGTAGAAATACTGGCTTCATTTGGAAAGTATTTTGCAGATCTATCATGTTATTACTTTGGTGAACACCATTGTTTTCCCATGAGGAACTTGAATTTTATGGAATTTAAAAGCCAAAGAAACATTTGGTTATTCTCTTTTGTAACAATAGAATGGATATTTACTGAAGCTTATGGTCAGTTGGAACAGTCCCTGGTTATGCTTCTGAGACACATTGGCCATAGATAAAAACCTTTCGGTCACATGCCCAAATCCAGAGCTGACCAAGTGACCCATCTGGGAAGCCTTGGCCTTCTGCACCTAACATGAGGCTGAGGGTTAGGTATAATCTCCGCATCACAGCTTATCATCTAAGGGTGGGAGGAAAAAACCATAAAATAAGAACCTGTCACCAGTCACTGGAGACTCCATTCTCTGAGCATCAGATCCATTTGCTATCACACAAGCAAAAAAAAAAAAATTAAAAAAAAAAAAGTTATCCGATGACACTTCTGCTTCTACTGTTTACCCTCCCATCTCCAGTGAAAAGCGGAGCTGTTTTCAGCTAAACCAGTTGTCTACAGGAGAAGTGCTGCGGCAGAACTGATGGCTTTCAACATAGACCATCACTGAAACTCCAGAAAGGTGTCTACCGTGACTGACGGATTCGTTCCTTCTGATCAAGACTGGCAGAGCTGGGTTTGAGGGGGGAAACGGTTTGGGAGCACCAACAGAAAAAGAAAGACAACAGTTTCTAAAAGCTCCTGGTCTCCTTCAGAGAATATTGGTGGTACAGACCCAAAGCAAACTTGCCAGTGATTTTTTTTTTTCCACAAAAAAATACCAAAGATTCCATAAAGTATGGTTTAGCTTCCCCCTCTCCGTCAGAGAGGAATGAGGGACGGATGCCATGGATGTTGTTTAGATCAGAGCTGAGCTTTAAGATGGAATGAGGAGGGGCACCTCTTCTGACAAGTTCTTGATCTGGCAGGTTAGGGCTCTTATTTTCCTACTTTAAATGGAGCTTTTGTATCTTATGAAAATTCCTGTCTTGGTTCTCCAGCTGTACCGGTCATTTTTATCACTAATAATAGGGACATGCTATCAAGGAGAAGCTGTGATCATTGTAAAATTATTATAGGGGTTGCAAAATCTGCTTACTAATTCCATATTTGCCACTAATTAGATATGTGACTTTGAGCAGATCGTTTAACTCTTAAAACTAAGTTTTCTCAACCATAAAATAAGATTTTCATTTAGACATTCTCTAAGGTCCTTTCTAGCTTTAAATTTCTAGATGGCAATGAAATAGCCACAAATTATTATTGTCTAAAATTTTCTATAGGGTGTGTGCTCTTGCTAGAGAGAGATGAGGGAGTGAGAAAACACCTTGGTGGGAAGATGGGGAATGCTCACACCGCAGTCCCTTCTCTCCTCTCCTCTCCTCTCCTCTCCTTGGGATTTTGGGCACACATGCACAAATGTCCAGTGTGTTTTTCAAGCCTCCAGGTCTAGAACTCAAACCATGCTGTCAACCATGTGGGATCTAGCCACTTTAACCACCACACCACTGGCTGGCCCAAAATTCTTTTTTAAACCTCTAAGTGTATAGGTACTAAGCAGAAAAGTGTATATATTAGTACATGTTTCACATTTCTTTGGTGTGAAAGTATAATGTGTTAGGTTTTTCCTTTAACCACTGAGCTAAAGTGAAGAAGATGGCCGGGGGGTGGGGGGATGAAAAACAGGAAGGTATTTTGATCTTGCCCCAAAGTATATACACAAACTGGCACCTGCAGCTGCTTACCAAAGCCTTTTTTATTTTTTTTTTTCCTTTTAAGAACTTTTGTTAGAGAAAATAAATTCTGCTTCCAGGGACAACTTCATGGGACCTATTTACAAATTAAGAATCAGCTTTATGAACATTTCCACCAGAGCCAAGAACTCCAAATTCCTAGTAGATTAGCATTTTATTTCTAAAGGGCTTATACACTGAGCTCCAACTCAACTTGTTTATGCACTGCCAGTAATTAAAGTGTTCCACCTCGGACTGCACAAATGGCTTATCGTTCTTGGTAGCACAGCGTCTGCCTCAGGGAACAAAAAGGTTGACGAAATCCAGTGGCAGCAATTCCAACATGTTTGCGATTGGAACTAAAGGACAAGATGTATTTTGGTGTGTAGTCTTCAGCATAGCACTGTATTCCGCAATACTAGACTGCAAGCCATGCCAGATTGCCTTTACCATTGTGAAACGGGAGCTGCTTATTGTGTTCTTGAAATATCTCACATCCCGCTGAGTCTTCGAGGGACACAAGCAAGGAGTAGCAGGAGAGAAAGCTAGAGAAGAGCACATTCATTCCCATTCCCGTTAGAGTAGTGGGAACGAACTAATGAGACCAACTTGTGCATCTCAAGATAGTGATGCTAAGGCTCATTCCACCAGCCTGGGGACTCCTCCTCCCCTTTTCTGTGACTAATGGATTTGCTGGATGATTTCCATTCTGCTAAGGTCAGTTTTCTGAGTGGAGCAACCACTCACAACCACTCACAACTTCATGGGACCTGTTTACAAATTAAGAATCAGCTTTATGAACATTTCTACCAGCGCCAAGAACTCCAAATTCCTAGTAGCCTTGCACTTTCAAGGTAGCATTCAGAGCCCATTATTCTAGAAAAACTGTCTATGTGGAAACTCCATGTTCTTAAGTCTTGACGTTGAGCCAGGTGGTACACAGTGGTTACCACCACACGGGTAGCACTTCCTTCTGTATGCATTCCTATACTAATTAGCACCCCCTCCTTGCTGGGGGTTGGAGAGGAGGAGAAAGGACAGCCTTACCAAGATGCCTAGAGAGAAGAGAAGGGCGAGCCCAGGGTTTGCATCTGCCACTGTTGGGCAGGGAAGTCCCGTAGTAGCTTCAGGCAGCATGTTTCTTTCCTCATACAGAGTCCCCTGGAACATGAGCTTGCAGGACTTCTGGCTCCTTGATTTGCCACCAGCCCTCACCTCCCAGCACTCACCCAGGAGGCCATAATCTGAGAAACTACCAACCCAGTGGAAAGTTACAGCCAAGATAACAGAGTGGGGTGAGAGTGGGAAAGGAATAGAAGGCTCTCCAAGTGTTCCCTTTTGCCATTTGAGGCATTGCCTACGTACTCCCAGCTGAGAGAGCCAAAACAAGGTTCTCTCCTGTTACCCTCTACCAGGAAAAAGAGAGAGAGAGAGAGAGAGAAAGGTATTGATAAACTCTCTTGTCTTTAGACTCCTTAAGTCATTCTCCCTAGAAGACATTTGCCTTGGCAAATAATCATAATCATGTGGTTTGTTACCCATTCCAAGCTGTTGTTGAACTCAGCTTTTTAGCGAAAAATGTCTCACCTTTTTTTTTTTTTTTTTTTTAGAGAGAGATATTTTTGCTATAGGGTGCAGGTGCTTACAGGAGATCCAGAGAGACAGAAAGGGAGAAATCGCCCCCCGAGGGGGATGGCCACACCGCAATCCTTTCTCCTCCTTCTCCTCTCAGGATCTTGGGCACGCACGCCCGACGTGAGTTTAAGCCACCGGGTCCGGGACTTGAACCAGGAATATTGACCCAATGTCAGCTATTTGGAAACCAATCAATTTAGCCATTACGCCATCTGCTGGCCCTCCGTGTGAGTTTTAAGTCTCTAGGTCTGGACCTCAAACCATGGTCGACTACATGGGAGTCCAGCAACATTACCATTATACCATCTGCTGGTCCCAAAATGTCTCACCTTTTAAATGTAGTGTTGAATATTTTGCTAAGCTTATACTCATAGTGGCTGAGATGTAAAATGACCTCAGATTTCTTTACAAAGAGATGTTTAAAAACTCCAAAATCTGCTCAGTTGAAACACTGTCTTGTTGGGGGCTGGCAGGTGGCATGCTGGTTAAGGGCGCTGGACTCCCACATGGCTGACCGTGGTTCGAGTTCTGGTCCTGGTGGCTTGCTTCTTGATCTCTCTCTCTCTCTCTGCCTCTTTCTCTCTCTGTGTGTCCCTCTCTGGTCAAATTAAAATAAATAAATAAAGTTAAACAAAATATTAAAAAAAAAAAAAACAAAAAAAAACGCTGTCTTGTTAACAAATCTACATCAGCATAAAGTTTTTCCAAGTAGCATCTATATCACTATTTTTTTTTTTTATGGAGAGTTTTGGGGGGGGTTGTTTGTTTGGTTGATTTTTGTTGTTTATTTGTTTGTTTGTTTGCTATAGGGCACATGTGCTTGCCAGAAGGACATAAAGTGAGAAATCGCTCCTCAGAGGGGATGACCACGCCACAATCCCTTCTCCTCCATTCTCCTCTCAGGATCTTGGGCAGGCATGCACACAAGCCCAGCATGAATTTAAGCCACCAGGTCCAGGACTCGAGCCATGGTTTGCTACATGGGAGTCCAGTGACGTAGCCATTATGCTAACTGCTGGTCCCCTCTATATCACTATTCTAACTCTTCTGTTCTCCCCAACCCTAATCCCCATGCTGCGCACCCCCACTATTGATTTAGGGAGAAAAGCAATACTGCTGTATCCTAGGGCAGACAGTAAGGCCATAACAGAAATGTCTCTTTAAAGTCCTAACTTTAAGGCCCCCTGAGGGAAAATAGGTTGGTCTCTAGTGGAGATTTGGAAACTCTGGGACACAATTGTGTAAGAGCTTGGATATCTGTGAGGACTGAAAGACTCAGGATTGGGGTTTGTGAACTCAAGAAGAAAAAGGAAAAGAGTGATGAAATATTGTCCTAAAAAATACAGCATCAGGAAGAAAAGGTCATGATAGTGATATTTCTCTTACCTTGTAACGAACTGGAAGCTGTTTTTGTGTGCGGATAGAGATACTATAGACAGAGGTCATCAGACAAGCAGAATGACTTGGGATTGAAGTGCCTAGGGAAAGGGCAATTTTGACCTGAAACCAAAGGCTAGACCTGGGCCACCCTCAAAAAAGAACTCTTTTCTTGAAGGCTGAAGATGGACTGGTCCTGGGAACAGTGGCCTGGGGCCGGGCTCTGCTTACTCTGAAGA